TATATATATATATATATATATATATATATATATATAACTCAGGGAACTTCTATACAGTTAGAATAGCCATTCAGAAAGGAAGCCATAAAGGTACACATTTTACACTTTTAATCTTGAGAATAATGTTATAAATTCACGTGTTCAATAGACTATAAAAGAGCATGCCAGATTATACTGGCAATACTCTCACAGATGTTTAATGGATCTTTAGACTATACCAGAAGCCACACTGAGTGATTAAACTATCATTTGTCCACGAATAATCTATGTTTAACATTACAAAAATCACCTAATAATAAAACTTCTCAAAATGTATCACCATCCTTAAACAGCTCATGATGATCAGCTGCTGAATTTTTGAAGATGGGTAACAATAACTATACTAAATAGAGCATCAGATTTTAAAATATGCTGAAACTAAAGATATGGGTCAATGCATACTTTTATGTCCCATTACTGAGAATACTAGTGAGTAAATAACTTTTTTAGAGTGAAACTAATAGAGTAAAACCCTTAAGTCTATCTCTACGTGTAATTCTATAAACCCTTTAATCTATGCCCCAAAGTCATGTATATTAAAAAAAAAAAGTCCTAAAACTGGATTGGTTTGGTTGGATTTTCGAGACAGGGCTGTGTAGCCATGATTGTCCTAGAACTCACTCCATATACCTCAAACTCAAGATATCTGCCTGCCCTAGCCTTCAGAGCACTGGGATTAAAGGCATGACACACCACGCTCTGATTCTAACACTGTTTTTAAAACAAAGTAATTGCAAACAACTAGAAGTGTTATCACCATGCAAAATAATAAACTCCATAAAACAAAACAGTAAAATATAGCAAAAATAAAAACATCATCCTAAATGAATACTGAAATTAAGAATAATTTTGAGGGGAAGAAAGACACAAAAAATATAGTATGTGTTACAAAAAGAAATGGCAGACAAAATTTAATCACTGAGACAATCATGACTGTTTAGTTTATTATATAAACAGGGCAACTAATTCAAAATTCATTGTAACTATTTCTATCCCTGAAAGAAAGGGATACAACTGAAATAAGACAGAGTTAAGTACTGATAATATTCTCTCATTTTAAGCTGTTGGCCTGATACTTCCATAACACACAGACATCTATAATTAGTAAAAAATTCAATACTAGGTTAGGAAGATAGATTTATTTGGGAGAGCACTTGCTACACAAGCATGGCCTGATGTTCCACTCCCCAGTACCAGCATAAAAACCAAGCACAGTTGCATGCACACATGATCTCAGTATTGGGGATAGGCAAACAGGATTCCTGGGGCTTACTGACCAGAGTAGATGAGCTCTAGATCTAACGAGAGATGCTGTCTCAAAAAATAAGGTAGAGCACAACTGAGGAGGACATCTGACAATAATGTCTGGCTTCTATATGAATGTACACACCTATTCACATATACATATATATGTACACATAATATCCAAAAACTGAAAAACTGACAAAGTCAACATATTGAACCATTCTCTAGGAAACCATACATACCATCAACTACCGGGCAATCATCATCCTTGGGATCTTGGAGTCGAGACAGAGCCAAAACCGCTTGTATTCTTACATTTGGAATCTTATCTTTCAATCTAATAAGCATGGCTTTATTAATTTTATCAAACAAGTCATCATCAATTTGGGCATTTTCTGGCAGATTTCCAAGAAGTTTATTAATGAGCTGGCATACTCTAAATCTGACTGCATTGCTGTTTGCTTCATGAGACTACACAAAACAAATCAAAAGTTATTCCTAGTCACATTCCATTCTTAAATGGTATCTATGTTCAAAATTCAAAAATTGACAATGCAGCCATGTCAATGGTGCAGGCCTATAATACCAGATAGAAGAACCACAAGTTCAAGGTCTGTTTGAGCTACAAATTGAACTCAAGGATAGCATGAGCAACTTAAAGAAACATTGTCTCAAAACAGAGTAAAAAGATAAGTATCAATCAGATAAGCAAGAGTGAAGGCCTAGGTTTAAATCCCAGCACTACAGATAAGATAAAGACAGTAACTCCTTACTTGCAGAGAGATCATACTGCATATGAATACTAAATACTTTAGAATCTCAAGTGGTATGAAAACTACTTGCTACATCACAAAATAAGCATATCCCTCTGTGAGGGAATTTTTTACTTAAATGAAAACATTTCAACAAAAGTGAGAATTTAAAGTTAAAAATGTAATGCTGGAGTTATCCTTTCATATTAATGACAGCTAAAGTCTCCTATAAAGGACTTACATACATTTTCTCTGTGAAAAATAACAACGATCATGGCCAAATACATTCCTTCCCCCAAAGTTTCACAGTACCTTTAAGAGAAAGGTAAACAAATAATTTAAAAAGCCACCATCTTTCTCCTCCTCTTCTTCCTGTTCAGACTGGTGAAATGAAGTTACAAACTTGGCTGTAAAGTCGATGACCCTCTCCACGGCGGGTTCACGTTTATATACCACCATAGCATATTTAAGATAATGAACAAACTCCTCCTGAAAAGCTGTTTTATCATCCGTCTGAAAGACAGAAGAAATACGTCCATAAGCTGCATTAATAAAAGTTCCTTATTTCCAACACTACCATTACACTGATGAAAGCTTTAACCTTAGGTCAAACTAAAATCTTTTTTAATAAACTATTCAATAATAAACTATCCAAACCAAGAAAGGAGAAATAAATCTGCACACATTTCTCTTCAGTATGTAATTTGCACCTCTACAAAAGTACAAAGCATAAATTTGGACATTGAAAAAATAGCTCGTTTCTCTTTCAACACCGTTGCATTTCGATGATTTTCTCACCGTATTAATGCAAAACAAAATTCGGCATGAATAACTCAAAATCAACAGGTTTTTTTTTTTTTTTTGGTCCTTCTGTATATTTTATTCAAGTGTTCCTAACATCCAGCAATTTCCTTTCACATCCTATTCCAAATCCTTAATCGCGTTTATATGAACTTCCTTAAACTGGCTGTTCCCACGGTCCTAATGATTTCGATATTTGGTGAAATGAATTTGATTTACGCTTGGGGGCTGGTTAAAACACCTCGGCCGGGTCTACTGTGATGAACTGGAGATCCCTCCAAAGGAGGCAAAGGGGCCTAAGATTCACTCCAGCAGTGCAGCTCCTAACTAGAGGTAACGGGTCGCTCCTCCCCAGCCCGGCCCTGGGGAAGGGCACGGAGACGGTGGAAGGCGGCTCCGAGTGAACGACGCCGGAAGTTCCGAGCGAGGCTGAGGCCGGGAGCCGAGGCCAGGCCGCTTACCGCGCCGTACGTGCGGGCCAGCGCCACCACCAGCTTCGCCTGGTTCTGATGCGGCTGCTGCGCCAGCCGAAAAGCCTCCTTCACAGGAAGCCGCTTCTTCTCCGGTGCCATGGCGCCGGGTCGAGAACTGCCTGCGAGCTGGCTGGCGATCCGCACAGGCTCCCGTTTCCCTCCGCTTCCCACAGACCGCCCTGCGAGCGTCCAAGAAAGTGGTTACCGCCGGAGTATTCAAACAACTCTCGCGGTAGAATGAGATCTCGCGAGACTTCCGTGAGCGCTCGGGTCGGGAAGCGGAGACAGACGCGACTACCTGCTGATCTGACAACCACCAGCTCCTCCCCCGGGCTGGAACGCATGCGCCTGGGGCGTGGCCTGCGCTTTCCCAATAAGAGGCATTTCGGGGCCGGCTCGGCCACGACCGGAAGTGGTGTCGTCTAGAGCCGGATCGTTAGCGGGCGTTCAGCTTTCCCGTTCGTACTTTCTGCGTCCGGGGTGTGGTGGGATCCTGAGTCCGGAGTGAGGTGAGGAAGCAGAGAAGAACCGCCGCGATGGGGACACGGTCTCCGCTCCTGCTTCCTGACGAGTGAACTCCGACTTGCACAGCTGCCCTGCGTGAGACGCAAGTTATGCAGACGTTTGTCCGGGAAACAGACGAAGTCTCCCGTGGAGAATTTAGTCTGGAGGCAGCCCTCTTCCCGACACACTTCGCCAATGTGTCACACACATGGTAGCAGTGTGTGGATTTCATGGCTCGGTCATCTGCTCGCTCTTATTCCATGCCCGAGTCTGTGTTTGTTTCCTTGAAGTTAGCTTTGTATCATCAACTTAGTTCGTTTTTGAAAGAACTTAGACTCCGGATGAAGGGTGTTAGGACCAATTAAGACAATGATGAGGCTTACAACAGATTTTATATGAAAGAGGTTTATTAGATGGAGATGAGAGAGGGAGAAATGATGGGGGGAGGAAAAGCAGGAAGCGCCCCAACAGAGAAAGGGGAGAGGGCAAGAGAGACAAAGTAGTGGGTTGATCCTTTTAAGGAGCGAAGTAACCATGCCTGCCAGGTGTGGCCCCAGCGACACATGATGACATCATAGGTTGCTAGGCAACCCACAAGCAGGTGCCTAAATACTAAAGAAGGGAAAGTTTGGGGTTTTTTTGTTTGTTTGTTTTCTTTTCTTTTCCTACACGTCAGCATCCTCTGGGAACAGATGAAATAAAACATCTCAAAGCCCCTTGGATGCCTTTCTCCTTTCGAGTTGCTATCTTCCCCTATCACTTTTTAAATGTACTCTTTAATTTTCACCATATATTTACACATATCCACATGAGTAAATGCCTGAATGAATGTATCGCTTTGCGTCAAACATCCATTGTATAAGTACCCATAAATACAACTGGCTTTTTCAGTCTGTACTGTTTCTGAGCTTTATCTAATACTAACAAAATTTATTGGCTTCTTGAATGTGACATCATTCTAAGCGCTTTACTCCATTTAATCCTTTATGTCTCACTGGAGGAGCTAGGGAGATGGCTCAGTGGGTAAAGTGCTTGCTGGACAATCAGGAGGACCTGAGTTCACACACCCAGTAGCCACATAAAATAACAGGTGTTGCGCCTGTCTGCAACCCTAGCACTTGAGGGTGCTGAAGTCCAGACAGTGCACCTGGGAGGCTCCCTGGCTGGCCATTGTGCCAGAATAGCAAACTTCAAGTTCGCTGAGAACCTGTCTCAAAAAATAAGGTCTAAAGTAATCAAAACACCCACTATCAGTCTGGGCTAAACATGCATGTACCACACACGCAAGACAAATAAAATTTTAAATATAATGAAATGTTAATGAAACGAGAACCAGTGTGTGTATCATTTTTTAATGTCAAGTAAACAAAGTAAAACTTAGAACAGAGGCTCGCGCCAGCATCCAAAATCCCTCGTCTTATATTCAGCACTGAATCCACGCCTCGATGCCACCGTACACCATTTCCTACTCTGCACTTTGCAGTTTCAGGGCGCTGTGAGGCCATATGCATGCTGCTGGCTGACCAGGGCCAGAGCTGGATGGAGGAGGTGGTTACCAAATATACCTGGATGCAAGGCTTGCTCAAGCCCACCTGTGTGTATGGGCAGCTCCCCACGTTTGAGGCTGGAGACCTCACCCTGTATCTAATGCCATCTTGAGGCACCTGGGCCGCTCCAGGAGAGATCAGAGGGAGGCCGCCTTGGTAGATATGGTGAATAGCGGGGTGGAAGACCATAGCTGCAAATAGATTACCCTCATCTACACTGAATATGAGGGTGGTAAGGATGGCTATATGAAGGCCCCGCCTGGGCACCTAAGCCTTTTGAGACCCTGCTGTCCCAGAACCAAGGAGGCAAAGCCTTCATCGTGGGTGACCAGATTTCTTTTGCTGATTACAACTTCACTGGACCTGCTACTGATGCACCAGGCCCTGGCCCCTAGCTGCCTGGACAACTTTCCCCTGCTCTCTGCCTATGTGGCATGTCTCAGTAGCAGCCAAAGATCAAGGCCTTTCTGCCCTCACTCAACGGTATGAACTGTCCAATCAATGGCAATTGGCGAACAGTAGTGGACAGAAGAGACAGGAGCTGTTTGTCTCCCTTTTCCCAGGTCTAATGAAGTTTGTAAGACAGGAAAAATATACCACTTAGAACCTATTAATATTTTGTGACAGTTGTGACCTTTAATTGTCTCTGTGTTTTAGGTGCTTGCTACCTTTACTGCTTTGGTGATAAAAATGTCTCACATCTTTACAGACTTTTATCTGGCTAGTTCATCATCAATGAAATATGAGGACTCTGGCCAGCAGAGGTCAGTATGACTGTTTTGATTCAAGTAGCAGATTTTAGGAATGAACGCTGTATGGATTTGGTATGCTTTCAACATTATAATCTGAGAACTTTTACAATATGCTATACTAAATTCAAACAGCATAGTCTCATTGTAAAGCTCACATAGTTCTTGACTCTTATTCTGCAAGAAAGAAGAACATATGTGTAGAAATAAGTTATTTCATGTCTTTGGTAAACTTTAGTTTAGAAAATAGCAAAACCGACATAAAAAGTTTAAGAGGAATAATTAGGGGGGAGGCCAAGATGGCAGCACCAGGAGAACACTGCATCTAAGAAACAGGACAACATTTTCCGTACAGCGACCAAGAGACTGAACTCTGGGCCCTAAAACAACAGCGATTGTGTTTCCCAGGTGAGAGGAAACCCCCACGGCATGGGAATCAGTCGGGTCCACGTTCAGGCCACCCAGCCAGAACCCGGAAGAGATCCCGGGTCGCGCAGGCACTAGGTCCCCAGACCAGAGCCAAACGCCTGCCTGTCCTGATCACCTTCCCAGGCTGATCGGTGGGCACAAAAACACCAGAGACTGGGAGTCCCAGTTGCAAGAAAAACCCACAGGGAAGGAAAGCAGCGGGACTGGCCACGGGTCACTCAGTCTTTCCCTAGAAAAAGTCTTGCAGACCTCAGGTACCCGCCACAATCACTGAACTGGCCTCCCGCCGCCAACACAGACAGGCGCTGCCTACCAGCTCTCTAGCACAGACGGAGCTGCGCACCCTAGTGCAACAGAGACGGAGTTCCTGTCGGGAGAGGCCCCACAGGGGAGGAAGGAAACAGTACTGACTTGGGCCACCCAGGCTTTACCTGGGGAAAGTCTCTCACAGACCAGCCAGTACGAGCCCCATCACTGAACTGGCCCCAGGCCAACTACTACAAAGAGTAGTTGGGCACCCAGCTCCTGCAGACTAGCAGGCAGGCTTGTGTGCTGCCAGCCCAGAGACCTGCTTTGTACCAACTATTCCTCACAGACAGAACTGTGTGCCCCAGGACACCAGAGACATGGTATCACTGTCTGGAGAAACCCTCACAAGGAACTAAGCAAAGGGGACGGACTTAGGCCACCCAGTATATCCCTGGAAAAGGTCCCACAGATTGGCCCAACCCAGGGACCTACTGTGCACTGGATAGCCTGCTGTTACCAGGAGAGCAGTACTCACTCGCCACAAATTACTGCTTGGGTACTGGGGTACAGAGCCCCAACCTCAGACCTTCAAAAGCCCAGGATCCCCGAGATCAACCCCCAGATACTGCTCCACTGGGCAACCACTTATCCCTAACAAAACTAACCAAACCACAGGACACACAGGTTACAGCAGCAGATCACTAAATTCACAGCAAGAAAATGAGCAGCTGTCTTCAGGACTTCTCCTGGTGAGAGGAGAGCCCTCTTGACTAATAAGGACCACAGTCACCTCAGACTACGCCTGAGGTGAGCAGTGGCAACTCCTGAAAAACACCAGACATCCAGTGACTATAGCCAAAAAGCTGAGAAGGCTTCCTTCAGGAAAAACCATCTTCCTGTCAAAGGGATTCTTTCCACCACAGGATTCCAGGAAAAAACAGAAACCAACTCCAAACACCTAAGATAACCCAATGGGTAGAGGCCAGCATAAAAGTTCAACCAACAAAAGCCAGAGCAATATGGCATCTCCAGAACCCAATTATTCAGGGACAGGTAGCCCTAGACACCCCAGCATAATTGAAATGCAAGAAGAGGACCTAGCATCTATGATCACAAAGAAGATAACAGAGGAAACAAATAAAATGTATAAAGAAATAGAGGAAGATAAAAACAGTTTATGGCCATCCTTAAAGAAATAGAGGAAGTTGCAGCAAAACAGTTAGTGGCCTATAGAGAGGAAATGCTTAAATCACTGAATGAAATAAAAGAAAAAGAGGTTTGTTCAAACAAACAGATGAAGGAATTGATGGAAAAACAGGAAAATACAGTCAGACAAGTGAACGAAATCAACAAAATATCTCAAGACCTGATGATAGAATTGGAAAACTTAAAGAAAACACCAATGGAGGAAATTGTGGGAAGAAAGAACTTAGGGAAGAAAACAGGAACCACAGAGGTTAGCATAACCAATAGACAACAAGAGATGGAAGAAAGAATCTCAGGTGTAGAAGATACAATGGAAGAAATAGATGTATCTGTCAAAGAAAATGTTAAATCTAAAAAAATTCCTGACACAGACCGTCCAAGAAATTCAAGACAACATAAAAAAAAAAAAACCTAAGAATAATAGGTGTAGAGGAAAAAGAAGATTCCCTGCTCCAAAAACCAGAAAATATTTTCAACAAAATCATTGAAGAAAATTTCCCCAACTTAA